GAAGAGTTGGTGGTCGAATTCGTAGAAAACATCCCATCCAATGATTTTGTCTAAATATTGCAAGTTGTCAATTTTAATTAGCAAATGATGGGTAATTTATCCAAGGCTAGACTAACACTGCAAAGACCATTTACTATAAGCGGAGTCGATTTTGCGGGTTCTATAACACTTACATTATTTAGTGTGCGTGGCTACAATAAGACACAAAAGCCTTATGTTGCTTTATTTATATCAGTTCAGTTAAAGCTATGCATTTGGAATTTGTGACTAGCTTAAGTATGGAGAGTTTTTTTGGCTGCTTTCAAGCATTTCACTGCACGTAGAGGCCATTGTTTTAAACTTATTAGTGATTGGCGAACTTCATTGGCGCCAGTAAAGAATTAAAAGCTATGTCTCACATTATAGCTTTAAAATCTATTTACAGAAATAGTGGATTTATTGTCTAATGACGGCACTGAATGGTAGTTCTACCCTCCGAAAGCTCCCCATATGGGAGGCTAATGGAAAGTTGCCATCAAATCCACCAAGTACCCAATTGAATCGTGTATTCAATATACAGTATGATAAGTTAATTTACTGTCATTTAGACATTAAATTAACTTATCATGTTTGAATTCTTGTCTACTGATGCCACTGAATGATGATAATGATGGTGTGATAGTGACGCCTTAACTCCAGGCCATTTTTAATAGGTGAAACGTCTTTTATTGTATCTGACCAAAGTTTGGAAAATGTTAAAGTACCTTATTTACATGCACAGAAAAAATGGAGCCAAGAACATTCAATCACCTTGCAAAAGCGTCCAAAATAGACTAACGTCCAAGAAAATATTGATATTGGAAATATTGTACTTGTAAAAGATGAAAGGGTTCTCACAACTCACCCAGATTCTGATGGTTTGATCAGAGTGTCTAGTATTAAATGTAATGTAATAATAAAGTTATTAAAACACCAAATCATAAGCTTTGTGTACTGCCAATTAATAGTGATTAGTAAGTTTATTTTGTAATTAGTTTTCTTTTTTTTTATATTTTATCATAGTTTGTTTTAACTTTATTTCGTTTTTAAAGACCCTTCGTCCTTTAGGGGGCGGTATATTTATGTTTATATGGTATATATATATATATATATATATATATATATATATATATATATATGTGTGTGTTAACAGTTTGCAACTTATTATCCTAGATGGTGTTAATTGTATTTTGCATCACGCTCTCATTTGCTTTTTTATTAGGCATAAGTCATACATTGAAATAAATATTATGTGTGTTCTCGGAGACAATGTTTAATTATTTGCCGAAAAAGTAAAGTTCTTCAAAACAGCTATAAATCAATAGCATGCTACTGACTATTAACTATAAATTGTTAGGACGCTATTAAGTACGCTATGCTATAGGCGCTATTTATAAGAAAGCGTGTAGACGGTCGGCAGGCGCGTAAAGTCTTACAGCACGCTAAATCTCGTAACGCCACAGCGGCTACTTACATAGCACGCGATGTGCGCTATGGAGAGATCTACTAAAAAGAAAGGGATAAAAATAGTGTTTAGGCCAAATATTGGCATTTGAAATTTGCATTCAACACGCGCGTCCTTCCGATGAAATTTAGAGATCACCGTCGGCCCCTCTCCCCGCGTGACCGTGACCCGCAGGTCACTAGGCAGAGGGCGCGAACGCCTGACGCGTGTGCGGACCAGTTGGTTGAGTGCGGCCGGTGTGGCTGATTGTGCGCGCACGCCGAGTCTATAGGACGGCCTGAAAATTTTACGCGTGCCTCCTATGGTGTTACCTTAATTTGTACGTTTCGTGATAACGGGGCTTGTCTTAAAGTATGGGAAAGATTTGTTGCGTGACGGCCGGTCGGTTAATTAATTGTTATCGGAAGTTAATATTGATTGACAGTCGTTTTGCTCCATTGAACTGCGAGGTCACGTGCAAAAGGAAGCCTCTAATTCGTGTCGTTTGTTAGTACGTTTACGTAACGGCGAGGCGTTTTTCTTGAGTTTGAGTGATTAACTTAACTTCGTTTAGAAGTAATTTACGCCAATTTGTATAGTGATTGCATTTTGAAGTGCATTGCAATATTTAATTTGCTTGTGTGGCCTGTTAATGTCGTATGAAAGAATTTGTTGCTAAGTGAGCATGGAACGTTGAACTTTGATCGACCGTTCATTATTTATGCAGCGTGTCACTTGTTTTAATTTCGATGAACGTTGATTTTGTTGAATTTGAAGTTAATTAAATGCACAATAAAGTTGATAAACTGAAATAGTGAAATGAAGGCAGAAGGTTTCAACTGGTGAACTACCACTGGAGGGAGCGCACATTTGGAGAAAAGCAGCGCCTGTGGATCTGCGGTCCGACTACATCGGGGAAGTCAGGTTCCATTTATACACACTTTCACACACCACTTTACATATACCTCACTTATCACCTGACTGGTACCCTGTGGTCAGCCCTACCTCCAGAGATCGGTAAGTTTTTGTTTGCTTAGCAGCCCATATATATATAGAATAATTGTCCATAGGCCATTGGGCTCCGCCCTCTGTTGCTCGTCGAGGGGGCTACTATGGGCCCTAGCCCAGTCGACTATTGTAGGGGCAACTAAGGGCGTGAACAAATAGAAATAGATATAATGTATACACCGTTGTCTAGATTTAAGTATTTGATCCATAAACATATCAGAAATGTGTAATAAAATTAGTAGATTTAATATTATATAGACTGTAAGCATTAAACCCATAAACTGTAGCTATATTCAATCTGGTTTTCCATGTATATTTATTAGCATATAATTATCTGTTTCCTTTTTTTTAAATCGCTTCGCTATTTATGTAAGTTGTGGTTACCTGTAAGAAGATGAATACGTAGCATGTAGTCGCAGTCTGTTGGTGATCCAAATAAAGAGAAAAAAGCGCTGCTGCGCATTTTCTGTTTTGTTATCCTTTGTCGGCTCTTACTACACCCACAGGACAATATGGTGCAGTAGATATTCTTACACCACCACTGCACGGTATATGGCCGCAGAAAAACATCTTTGGAAAACAATGAAAATGACAAACGAGCAAACAATCTATCTGATGGTAAATGAATGACGTGGCCCGTTAACGAGTACATTTTTCTAGATTAAAATCCAAAATGCAGATACATTTTTGCTAAGATGAAATTCAAACTATAAAAGGGTTCCTGGGATCTTGTTACTCACCATACGAAACACAGCAGCATTATGCTGCTTTTACGGACAAAATTCACTACAAATGTGAGACTTCCCTGTTTAGCCAATTCATTCGTGCTTCAGCTGTAATGCAGATGTCACGTGGCTCTACAGCGTCAAATAACATACATACCATCTTAGTCCTCACGGGTGACAACGCATCTGCATCTTGAGTCTTTATTGAGGATAGATGTAGATGTCTATGGGTCACAGTAATCACTTACCATCAGGTGGACTGTGTACTCGTTTGTCACCCTATCCTATAAAAAAAATACACATCCGTGTAGTGTCAGACTTTTGGTATGAACTTAGCGGCGAGTGAACGTTACGTTTGCAAGTTCACTTCAGTTCACTTCACATGTCAATGTTTAATCTGTGTGTTTACTTGAGCGATTGAATATTGCGAGTTGAAAATGTATGCTTTTTTAAAGATTTTTAGTGAAAATGGAGGATGATAGTGTTCCTTGTGATGAATTGAAGTGTGTTAAAGTGCTAAACGGCAAAGAAAACTTAAAATCTTAAAACTTTGTTGAGAAATATATATATGCATATGTTTTCACCAACATTTCACGCGGACGTAATGAAATCTTTCCTTAAGAAAGAGAGACGATTCGATTTAGAATATAAATTATTTTTTTTTATTTTGTACATGGTTTGTTTGTACTTTGTTCATGCTTTTCTTTTGTTCATGTATTGAAATTGTATGTAAGTATCTTTATCTTTCGCTCAAGCAAACCCAAATGGTTATTTTCAAAGCCACCGAAGGTATGCAATTGCTGATATGTCATACAATCTATCTAGCAGTTGTATGCATTCTGTGTGCTTTGTTAAACACGTCCTCGACAGCACTGAATATGAAACTGAAGAGGTGAGACAGATCAAGATTGGTGTATTGTTATAAAACTGCTAAAATCAACAAAACCATATCTTGCACTTGCTCTAGTTTGGAGCCCTAGCTTCGCCACTGCTCACAGCCTGTAATTATACTTGCTCTCTTTTATAATCTTTAGACAGGAACACAGCAGCACTAGCACTGCTATTTACCGGCAGAGATAGGTAGAAGGGCACTAACTAATCCTAGGCAGAAAAGGGATCCTATCAACTAATATTAATTCATGCAACATCTACTAACAGACATTATTTTTACGCTCTAAACTAAACACGATCCAGTCATAGACATAACACTGTCCGGTCGTGTGTGTACAAATCTTTATGTATTAAAAAATCTGCATGTAATAATACAAGTCCATTGTATAAATTTACATTATCCTCCCTCTCACAGCCGCATAATATATACTAAGCAGTAAGTTTCAAAGCTATGTCATTACATTTATTAAATAATAATATATGAATAAAGACGATAATAAATTACTACGGAATTGTCCTACAGAATATCTCAGCAGTTTTTTTTTAATCTTTCCAAGACCTTCGATATCATTCATCATGAAACATTTATCAGGGTACTAAATTATATACTACTTAAAAGAGGTACTGCACCTAATTTTATTACTTTATACAATAAGTGTAATATAAAAGAAAACAGATATTCGGTATTTTAGTATTAGTCTTTTCAAATCAATTATATTAATGAGGTTCCCGCAGAGATCTGCTCTTGGCCCATTTCTATTTAAAATGAAGCTATATTTAATTAATATTAAATATTATGAATTTTTGAAGTCAAAAAAAACTTTTATTACATTTCATGCTGAATGCCGAATGACGTGATGGTAATGATGTGACAGTGAAATGTGGTCCAGATCCAAGATCAGTGCAACACTTACCGATCAGAACAGAGATGATGTAAAGTCCTGCGGTGCGCACTGTGAACTTGACGCGCGCCGTGTGCGCCTGCGCCGGGTCGTCAGAGCCCAGCTCTACTACAGCCGTGATCTGCACAAGACACAACATACCACTGATCAGCCCACATAACTCCACTGCCAAGCGCATTTTATACTCTCTTATTTGGCATATATACTCGTTCCTCGACATAGACACCCACTAAGAACATATTTTATGGAACTCCTATCCAAAACGGATTTTTGACTTAACATCGTGACGTTGAAGAAGAGATATCTCGATATCTCGAAACCGCTAGTAAATAAATAAATAAGTTGTCGCACTACCAACCTTTCTGGTGCCGTGCGCGATGCTGACACTGAGGTCATCTGTGTCGCAGATGGGATAGGGCTGTCCGTTGCGTTGGTAGCAGAGCACGGTGAAGCACATCGTATCGCCCACCGGCTGTGGTTCCTCCCAGCCCCACTCCACCTAATCGAATACCCCTTTATTAGCTTGTAAGTACTACTGTAGACAAACTAAGGAGGCCCTGCCTGCAATAAACAGTCATTTAACCAAAGTCTTAATGAGATTGAATAAACCACAGATGAGGATAGCAACAAGTGTTCTTACAGGACACGGGTCTTATACCGTTACTGTTACCGTTACCGTTACCATTACAGCCTATTAAAGACCACTGCTACACATAGGCCTCCCCGAAAGATTCCTCATAGGGGGGATATATACTATAGTTGCCACTCTTTTCAAGCGGTTTGGCAACTGCAGTTTTTTATTTTTAGTCGTTATAAGGAGATCGCTGCTGTCCATCTCCTGATATGTTTCCCTCTATCGCCTCTTACTACACCCACGGGAAAATATGGAGTAGTGGATATTCGTACACCGCATCTACACGGTACCGGCTCCTTTCACAAACATTTATTTACCATACATGTTACTACGTAGACTAGTGTGTGGCGGCGCTGTCGTCGCGCCACATGCGAAACACATCGAAGCCTAAATCGCGCTATCAAAGTTCCGAAGTAAAAGCAGTATATATAGAATAGCTCCGAACTACCACTCGGAGCGTTAACCGCTCCCCGGGCAGCACACCTTGCCCGGTGGGAGCCATGAAAGGAAAATGAAAGGAAAATCTCCCATTTTCATTTTTTATTTTGCTGCCCAGAAATGGGCGGTTAACAACCCGCGTGCCATGCATGGCAACTATGGCAAAGGCAATCTATGGGGGAGGCCTATGTTCAGGAGTAGACTTTGATAGGCCGCAACGGTAACGGCAACAGTAATGTTCATAGTATATGCGGGCAACTTCGAATTCGATTTTTGCATGCAGCACTGAAATTCTTAATCGCAATTTTTAAGTGGTGATTTGGTGGTGCTTGGTGGTGTAAGAAAACACTGTGGAGAAACCTGCACATTTCTGAAAAATCAAAAATATTGTAATAATAATAATCTCTTTATTTCGATCAACACATCACATTACATAATTAGCATAATTAGGTGATAACATCGCCTATTGTTAGTAATTAATTATAATTTTGAAAAAGTGTTTTTCCCGGTTTTTAGTATATAAGTGAATAAATAGTCCGCCAATATGCACTGAAGCTGCAAGCAGGGTCTTTCCTGTTTCCTCATTATTCTTTCATTCATTACAGCGTATAAAACAAGTACAAGTACAAGTCAGTCGTCTGCCAGCGGTGCTAACGATAGCACACTGTCATTTTTGTTCGGGAACCGTGGAATAGTTTAGGCGTCTAGTAAACATCCTGTCTAGGATTTATAACGCGCATTCCTTGTTGGATAGCCTTTCCCGGGACTTATCGGGTCCGACTCAGAATCTGTATAAGTGCATTCGACAATATTAGCTAGTGCGACCTTTGATATTCTAGAAATAACTGTTGCTACGCGAAACGGTAGTGACCTTTGATCCGGAAACTCCGTGTTCGTTTTGTGCGTTAACCTTATAACAAACGAGAGTTAGTGGCTTTTGTAAGTTAGTTAATCGTACGATAGAGTTAATGGACTGTCATCGTGACGAACGAGGAAAGTGACTGTGGAGAACGCCGCGGCATATTACCTCATTTTGGAGCGGTGTCGACGCCCGGGCTGCTGCCGACGGCCAAGGTCTACTAAGGTCAATCACCATCAGTCACACCCAGATACACATCACAGCACCTTATTTCCCTGGCACTACACAACCACATGCGACCTGACCGACTCCGGAGGGACCAGTCGCCTTGGATATAGGTAAGTAAGCTCCGTCTGATATTCTCCCTGTTGAAAGGCCGGACCACAGAACTTTCTCCCATATTGTTTATTGTAATTAGGAAATTCCACGTGGCCATATTCTGGCCCCGTCTCTCTGCTGCTCGTCGATGGGATTACTCATGGGCCCTAATCCCGTCATCCTTGGTTGGGGCAGCTAGGGGCGTGTACAAAAGGCTAGTACAGTCCGTTCTCATAGTCCACATACAAGGTGGCAGATTGAACTCTTCCGTCTTCTGTACAATTTGCCGAAGGGTGTGTATGTGGTCCATGGTACTAAAGCCTTTTCGGAAACCAGCTTGTTAGGGAGGCTGGAATTCGTCAAGTCTGCGAGCGAGACGATTCATAATGACTCGCGAAAACAACACGTAGACGCGGCTAAGAAGGGAAATCGGCCTGTCGTTCTTTAAGAGAGCGTTGTCGCCTTTCTTGAAGAACAAGACCACCGCACATCTGCGTCACGCCTTCAGAGATGTTCCACCATGCGGGACAGAATTAAAGAGCTTCTGAAGGACTTCAAGTACCGGTTTTCCACCCGCTTTCAGAAGCTCCGCTGTAATCCCATCCACACCTGGACGTTTTTAAGGTGCTGGATAGCCATTTTAATCTCGCTAAAACTGACGTCCGGGATATCATCGAAATAGTGCCAGTTAAAACTCGCTCTTGGATCGTTACTCACACTTGTGTGTGACTCCAATGATGACGTGTACAGCTGCCCATAGAACCTCTCAATCTCACTCAAAATATCAGGTGTCCCGGAAACAATGCTGCCACATTCGGTCTTCAGCTTTAACACATGAATTTTTCTGGCAGATAGATCTCTGGCAAAGACCATTGAGTCTTGGTTCCGCTCGATCGCTTCTTCAATACAAGCTGTATTGAAGATGCGTAAGTCCCGCCGCATGTATCTGGAGATCTGTCTGTTCAGTTGCCTGTATGCTGCCAAATCTGTTGAAGACTGCAGTTTCATTTCCAGTCTAACAGCCATGAGATTAAGAGTGTGATCGGAGAGTTTTTGTGTTCTTCTGCGGCGGGTCTTGCAGAAATTAGCTCCGACCGCATGGATCCTCGAGCTTATCATTCATATTGTTCTTCATTGCAATCTTCTAGGCACGGAAAACGGTTTTGTAACTCGAGCTGAAAGGTTTCGGGATTTTAGATTAGATCACGAGGGGGACGGAGCGTTGACTTCATTAGACGAGACCTCTCCAACTTAACGTTTAGGTTCAGTGTGCCTCTGACCATTCGGTGATCGCTACCAGTTTTTACCCTCGCGATCACGGAGACATCACTGAACAGTTGTCGTCTGGTCGTCATAATGAAGTCAATCTCATTTTTTGTCGAACCGTCGGGGCTCGACCAGGTCCACTTCCTGTGGGGCCGCTTCTGGAAGAAAGAGTTCATCATAAAGAGTCCCTCTTTCTCCATGAATCGGCCAGCTACTGGCCCCTTGGGTTCCTTTGCCCTATTTCAAATTCCCCCACTTTCAGGTCACCGTTCTCTCTTGTGTCTAGTTTTGCATTGAAGTCTCCCATTAACACCGTATAGTGGGTTTTGGAGGAATGCAGGGCTCTAGAGATATCCTCATACATTTCCTCCACCTCCTCATCGGGATGTGCCGAGGTTGGTGCGTAAACCTGTATGACCTTCAGCGAATACCGTTTGGTGATTGTGAGTATAAGGTACGCAACCCTCGTCGACACATCCTCAATCTTTACAGAGTTGTTAACGAGAGACTTGTGGACGATAAATACGTCACCTCCTTGGGACAGATGGTCGCCCTCCCGGTGATAGAGCAAGTTGCCGGATTCGAGGATTACCGTGTCCTCCCCCTCTCTTCGGACCTCAGATAATCCTATAATATGCCAGCGTAACTTGTCTAATTTCTTCTTCCAGCTCCACGATCTTCTCGTCAGTCCTCAGGGTACGTACGTTGTATGTTGCCAGGTGGAGGCATCTTAGGTGGCAATCAAACCTCCACAGGAGATTCTTAGCACCCTATGCCCCGCCGTTACCATGGTCGCCACCGTAGCTCGGAATAGCGGGGCCGCAGGAGCCTCTCACCGGGGGGTATATCGCCATAGTTGCCACCCATGGCGAGCGAGTTGGAAAGTGCAGTTCTTTTATTGCAATATTGCTGTTATCAGGAAGATGCTGCTGCCCATCTCCTGCCTGTTTCCCACAGTCACCTCTTACGATACCCAAGGGAAGATATGGGGTAGTGGATATTCTTAACCACCACTACACGGCAACCTCTGTTGTTCTTTTCTGTTCCTCGCCTTATTAGAAATGTGATTAGTCATCAAATGGAGTCTTGACTCTACATATTTATTTATTTATTTATTAGGATTACCAACAGAAATTACAACAGTAATAGAAAAATCATTTTCATCACAAGTTCAACACATTATAAATGTATGTCTTTTTATGGGTAATCACAATATTGATTAATATTGACCATTGAGTATGCCATATCGCGATGACGTCCATTAATAGTTGAAATTGATTTTTATTTCAAATATTAACTGCCTAATAAGTCTAGTAGTCGTAAACGCGATCGCTGATCAAGAACTCGCGGGTTCGATTTCCGATTTGGGCCAAAATCAGTTATTGGGTTTTCTGTTAACAGATTCTTTGTAGCAGCTTGGAGCCAGGAAGTTAGTGGTGTTTCACCCCAGTGTCTCGGAAAACACGTCAAGCCATTGTTCCTGCGCCTGATCTCCCTCCGGTCATGTCGCATTACTGTCCCATCGGACTATCAAAGTGAGAGAATAGAGAGTGCACCTGTGCTTGGGCATACACTCGGCCACTATAATCCTGACCTGCGCAAATAGCTAGTCTCCGTTGAAATTCGGTCTGGACGACATTTATATTTTTTATTGCCATTTGAGAGTTATTATTTAATGAAAAAAATTACCTGATAAAAGTACTCTCGATGGTAAATGATCAAACTACAAGTCCATTTATATGCTACGTGTTATGTACGTACCTTACAGCTGGGCGGATGCAGGTATTTCCCCGTGACGTACTGCAGCAGGGAGTGCTTGGCTTCCGGCGCCAGCGAGGGCTGTGTCATGGCTGCCAGAGTCACGAGACCACACAACGACACCGATACCACCAGCATGCCACCTAATGTACAAGAAGATTATACTCGTATTTAGGAAAAGAGAATAATTAAAAACACAGCAAATATGTAGAATCCTGAACGCAAGTTTCTGAGGAAGGATAATTATTATGTCTTCTTGTCTGTTTGCCTGTGGTATTAACGACAATGAAGATGTTTTGGCGGGAACTTGACTACCGGTGGATTGCTGCTCCTGTTACATCGTTTCAATAATAGTTTAAAGTGGGTTTTAACTTAGTGGGAACGACGAAACAAGTGCTGTGATGGTGATGAAACTCAAGTTATTGTGTCTGCTTTGGCGCCTTGAGATACTACCGTCATCGATTATCGGTTCTGTTGAGTTAGGCTGCCGTCAAAATTTCCCAAATACTTCGCAATGTGACGCATCGACATAGTGAACATATTTGGAAATAAATTATAATAAAGAATAAGCTCTTATTACTTGATAGTGGCAAAAGCACAACAGTGCGAGCCATTACCAAAGAAAAAAAAGCGACAATGACGCGACCACAACGACGAAAGCTACACCTTTAAAAAAAGAGCTTATATCGACCACTATCCGCAAATTATCGCCGTGACCTATCAGAAGAACATCACCATTATACAATAAAATAAGTAGTACACGTACATTGTAAGGGAATGACACAGTGGTAACATCGGTAAACATTTAGAATCGTTTGGCAGGAAGGGGGAGGGAGAGGAGGTAGAGGGGAGTTTCCCGTCAACCCCGACACCACTCCCATGAAAATTTACTACAACGTCCTTGAGAAAAATGAAAAAGAAAATCCCATAGACCTAACCTCAAAAACGTAACATTTATCTCTCTCCTGTAGGATTGGGACGGGGAGGGGGGAGCGGGGGTGTCCCCTAATTCAACTGAAAGAATTTCTGGGTGCTCAAGTATTTCTGGGCGGTAAAAAAAATAACCACGAAGGCTGTGGCGGGAGTGAAGCGCAGCGCAATCTAACCTAACGCTACTGAAAGGATTTCTGGGTGTAAAGTATATAATAATCATTTCTTTATAGTTTGTAAATATAATTTATTATGAGAGTATAGACCACAGAAGAATAAAATACCATAGAAGAATCAGGTCGGGGAAAAAGTTTCTTCTTATTTTATATAAATTCAAGACATTTTTTTTTCAAACTTTAATTACATTTAATTATGCATATGTTATGCATATGTTAAGCATATATGTTGTTATACATATGTGCCATTTTGTTCGATAACTTGTTGACATCTTGTAGGTCTTGACGACTTTATCCGTATGAGGGCGACCAGAGCGATCTGCATCTTTGACATCGAAATTCCCGCACTGAAAATGCTTTTCATTAGATTCACGCATTTTGGCGAACAGAAAAACAATTTAAAAATGGCGGGAGTGTTTTTTTAACTTTTTATTTGTCTTTTTCTTAATGTAGAAATAGTAATGCAGATAAAAACAGTACAACCAAACATTTTTCTTCAATTTCATACAAACAAAATACGAAGGAACTTTTTCCCTGACCTATTATAATAATGTGACACTAGTCTTGGTCACAAGGTCTTACGTCCTTGTCGCACTTCGAGCTTTCACAATAATACCCATTTTTGATCCCCGCTAAAATTGTTAATTGCAATTTTAAGTGCTGGTTTACCACGTGCTCGGCGGTGAAGGAAAACATCGTGAGGAAACATGCATGTCTGAGAAATAAGGAAAAAAAATTTCGAAGACATGTGAAGTTCGCCAACATACTTTGGGGCAGCGTGATGGACATTCCTTGCTCTAAAACCCTCTCAGAAATGAGGGCTGGCCTGTACCCAGCAGAGGGACGTAAATACGCTGTAACTTTAACTTTTAACTTTAACCCATTTTTTGGCTATAATAGTTTTTTTTCTCGAAAACAGTGCGCGTGGTATTGTGATAATCGGGGACCAAACCTCTACCAATCACAACACTTTGCTTACTGAACCAAATTACTGCCAAACGTTTTTAAATCCAAACCGTAACATCATCTCACCCCAAGTCCACGCATCCTGATGCTTGCTGTTCTTAACAACGGCACTCCAGAGATCCACTTTGAGGGTCTGGAGCGCCTCCCTGCCGGTGGGCAGACTCTGACGCGCCGCGGACCACGTGCCGAAATCTTTGGGGTCCAGCACGTAACGGGCTTTGGAGTCCTCCAGCCAGTACACATCCTCCAAGGATAGCACGTCCAGACTAAGTAATCTGAAATGGAAATAACCATTAAGAAAGAAAGATAGAAAGAATGAAAAATATATATATTTATTTTGACACATAAGCACAACGCCTTTTATCGCTTTGAAAATTACTAATAATAAACCATTAGACGTTTCTAAACGTGACGAAAAAGGCTCGCGTCAGTGTGGTTCTTTTCGTGTCTTTCCAGTAGTACGAGCAATGGTCTATTTTAATAAACTTTAAATAAAACCTAACAGTGAATAAAAAACCAATAAACAAACAATAAAGACAGAAAGAAAGATCTCTACATGACTTGCGTTCCAATTGTTAAGTTTATAGTAATTTGAACAACAATTGAAGGTTGTAGAAGTTGTAGAGCCACGCAGCAGTTTTTGCTGTTGCATGTATGGGCCGGCTCGAGCCGGGTTGGTACCACGACCTCACAGAATACCGGCGTGAAGTAGAAGCTTTGCTTCTGCGTTTCGTCTGGTGAGTGCAGGTGGCCGGAGGCCCAATTCCCCCCCCCCCCCCCCCCCCATCAACATGGTAGCGGAATTACACGAAGAACTACCTCAGGAGGGTACCAGCACCCCTGGAGAATCCCTCGCTGAGCATCCACGACCATGTTATTCCGATCCTGAGCGTGGGTGCTCAGGCTGCCCCGCGTATTCTGGGGGGGGGGGGGGGGGCAAAATTCCGCTCAAAAGCATTACTGCTAGGGGCAAACTGAGCAAGAACACCAAGGCGACCCCTGCCACGCTATCCGTGAATTTCTGCAACATCAGGGGACTTCACTCTAACCTAAACGCCGTCCACTACCATCTCGAGACGGCGAAGCCGGCCTTGCTCTTTCTGACCGAGACGCAGGTTTCCTCTCCGGCTGATATTTCGTATCTCTCCTGCCCGGGGTACAAATTGGAGCATTCCTTTGTGCCTCGGGCTGGAGTTTGCGTGTATGTCAGAGAGGACATCTGTTCTCGACGCCTCGGCAGTCTTGAAAGTTCGGACCTGTCCATCCTTTGGCTACGCGTAGACAGCGACGACCATCCGCGCGTCTACGGGTGCCTCTATAGGTCCCATAGCGGTAATGCCGAAACAGACCGACTCATCGACCACGTCCAAATGGCTACAGATTTCTTGCTACAACAGGTCCCATCCGTAGAGATCGTGATCCTTGGCGATTTTAACGCCCACCATGCCAAATGGCTCGGTTCACGTCTAACCGATCATGCGGGGAGATCTGTTTATGACTTTGTCTTGGCATATGGTCTGACACAACTGGTTACTTCGCCTACGCGGATTCCAGATGTGGAGGATCATACACCTTCCCTGTTGGACCTTCTGCTGACCTCTCATCCGGACGGATATCAGGTTTCCGTCGATGCCCCTCTCGGCTCTTCGGACCATTGTCTGATCCGGAGTGTGGTGCCACTCACGCTCCCTTCGCGGTTGCGTTCTGCAGGTTGCCGCCGTGTTTGGCATTACAGGTCAGCGGATTGGGACGGAATGCGGTCCATCCTACCCATGGGGACGGGTTTGCTTCTCGCCGGATGATCCCAGCGCTGTTGCTGACTCTGTCACTGATGTGGTGCTACAGGGAATGGAACTATTTATTCCATCATCTGTGGTACCCATCGGAGGCAGATCTCAGCCTTGGTTTGGTCGCTCCTGTAAGACTGCATTACGCAGTAAGCAGGAGTGTTATCAAGCCTGGGCTGCGGCTTCGGCGACTCGGGATGTAAATACCAGCACACTTAAAAAGAAGTATAACTTCGCCTCCAGGTCCTTCAAAAGAGTTATTGCCAAGGCAAAGTCAGAGCACATAGGCAGAATTGGCGAGAAACTAGTTCGCCTTCCTTCGGGAACCCGTGCATTCTGGTCTCTCGCCAAGGCTGTCCAAGGGAATTTCTGTAAGCCATCACTACCATCTCTGCACAGGGAGGATGACTCACTGGCCCATGACGCAAAATACAAAGCCGAACTTTTAGGCTCCATTTTTGCGTCCAACTCGACTCTTGATGACGGGGGGAAAACACCGCCGACCATCCCGCGGTGTGAGTGCTCCATGCCGGATGTGCTGTTCTCACAGCGCTCGGTTCGCAAAGCACTGCTCTCCCTGGACATCCAGAAGTCGAGTGGGCCTGACGGAATCCCCCCAATTGTGCTGAGGACGTGTGCTCCGGAGTTGGCACCGGTCCTAACGCGTCTTTTCCGGTACTCCTACTCCCAAGGCGTAGTCCCGAATTCATGGAAGACAGCTTTTGTCCACCCGATCCCTAAAAAAGGCGACCGCTCAGACCCATACAACTATAGGCCTATCGCGATCACCTCCTTGTTCTCCAAAATAATGGAATCCATTATTAACTGCCAGCTCATCCGGTACCTTGAGGATCACCAGCTGATTAGTGACCGCCAATACGGTTTTCGTCGGGGTCGATCAGCTGGTGATCTTCTGGTCTACCTGACCCATAGATGGGCGGAGGCAGTAGAGTCCAAGGGGGAGGCGTTGGTCTTTAGTCTGGACATTGCGAAGGCCTTCGATCGGGTTTGGCACAAAGCGCTTCTTTCGAAGCTCCCTTCCTATGGGCTTCCCGAGAAATTGTGCAATTGGATCACCAGCTTCCTTGCAGATCGGAGCATCAAGGTCGTTGTAGACGGTGCATGCTCTGACTACAAGCCTATTTACGCTGGTGTTCCACAAGGCTGTGTGCTATCACCAACGCTGTTTCTTCTGCATATCAATGATATGTTGCTAACTGGTAACATTCACTGCTATGCGGATGACAGCACTGGTGATGCTCTATACACCGGCCGTGCCAATATTTCTCGGGAAAACGTCGCTGAGTACCGGAACAAACTTGTGTCTGAAGTCGAGTCTTTGCTGAACAAAGTCTCGGATTGGGGGCGACTAAATCTAGTCCAATTTAATCCTCAGAAGACACAAGTTTGCGCGTTTACCGCTAAAAAGAACCCCTTTGTCGTATCTCCTCAGTTTCAAGGCACTACCCTTCTTGCCTCAGCCAGTATCGGTATCCTCGGAGTCGACATATCGAGTGACGTGCAGTTTCGTGGTCACTTGGAAGGGAAGGCCAAATTGGCCTCTAAAAAGCTTGGCGTGCTCAGCAGAGCGGGACAGTATTTCATGCCGGCACACCGCCTGCTACTTTACAAGGCGCAAGTTCGGCCTCACATGGAATACTGTTCCCATCTCTGGGCAGGGGCTCCCCAGTGCCAGCTCCTTCCACTTGACCGCATCCAACGCAGAGCGGCTCGAATTGTCGACGACCGAGCCCTTTCCGATCGGCTCGATTCATTGGCACTGCGAAGAGATGTTGCATCCCTTTGCATTTTCTTTCGCATCTACCATGGGGAGTGCTCTGAGGAATTGTTCGGATTAATCCCAGCCGCCAAATTTCACGAACGCACATCGCGGCAGAACTCCCGATACCATCCACACCATCTGGATGATTGGCGGTCCACCACTGTGCGATTTAGAAGATGTTTTCTTCCTCGCACGACCTCCTTGTGGAATCGATTACCATCAGCGATTTTTCCGGACCGATACGACTTAGGGACCTTCAAGAAAAGAGCGTACTCCTTTTTAAAAGGCCGGCAACGCATCTGCGATTCCCCTGGTGTTGCAGTTGTTCCTGGGCGGCGGTAGTCACTTACCATCAGGTGAGCCGCATGCTCGGTTTTTTTTTTATAGGAGAGGGGGCAAACTCCCACACCCGCAATTAAACGTTAATTCAACCCGGCATCTTCCAGTATTACACTTTAGTACCTGATTAATGAATTTTTATGCTTTTGTCGAATTAATTTATTTAACCTGACTGTCGTATTATTATATAATATATTAAATAATTATTTTTATATGTTTCCATTATTACCGACTGACACTGCAATCGGCAATATTCGCTTACCGAGCGTGGTGATTAAGAGGACTACATGAGCTAAATGACCTCGAATGACGCACGCACATATTTAGAAATTTCTGTATAGCATGAGGCCTCGATCTATTATCTCAAATAAATACCTAGTACACGTACTATTATTAAGTGGTGAAGTTTGCGAAGTCACTTATTAAGTGGCGAAGCTTGCGAAGTTACTTATTGATTTCACGATGTCTGTCCGTCTGTCCGTCTGTCCCACGATTATCTCGAGAACGGTTTTGAATTTTCAAATTCTGTTTTCAGCAATCGATTACTGATCACCCAGGCATCTGAACCTTCTATTTTGAAACTGATTGCTCAACGGCAACCGTTAGAAACCGCTACAAAGCTGATTGCTTCGCCACTTTGCTATGCTGTTAGCTTGCTAGGTTTATTTATTCTAAGTCTCCGCCGGTACTGTCGGTACACAGGCGTTTACGCACACATACGTACGTATTATGTTCAGAAATAAAAATATGCGATTAAAAAATCTATTGATTGGATTAAAAAAATAAAACACGTTGTTTGTAGAATAATCTGTCAAAAAATCAGAATGATGGCATGTATATTAGTATGGTTTTTGTTGGTTTTAATCGTTAAAAACGTTTTAAGAGGTGTCCTTGTGATTTTTTTCTATCGTATTAAATTAGTAGTATCATGTTTTCAACACACTATCGAACTAGCTGTGGCGGTTGGAAGCAAAAGGGGAGATCTCCCGCCGGGCAAGGTGTTCTGCTCGGAGAGCGGCCAACGCTCCGAGTGGTAGTTCGGAGCTATTCTATATATGCTGCTTTAACTTCGGAGCTTTGTTAGCGCGATTTAGGCTTTGATGTGTCTCGCTAGTGGCGCGACGACAGGGCCGCCACAAGCATATATCCTGAAATATATCATATATTTTGTGATTTTGTTTACTGCAGTAGGTCACATATACTTTAAGGCATTATAAAACTTGCGTTTAGCCCCTGTAGTCCCTAAAGGCAATTCCTCCATCCAACGGGAGTGATAATATAGTAGTGTAGTACTTATAAGTTATTGCATTTGAATATCTATATATCAATATTAGATAAAGGAATATACATACAACGATAAAACTCC